TGCCTCTATTAAGATCCTTGTAGATCAGGCAAGGCTGCATCGAACTCCCGTCGGGTCGACGGATGGCGTTCTTGCCCACACCCCTCACATCCCGCGCATGGCTAGTGCCTCGGTGCAGGCGTTTGTTGCGAGCACAGTTCGCATTCACCAGGGACACAATGGCTCGTGCCCTTGCAACTTAAAAAACCGCTAGCCCCGGAGGCCTCGGCACATGGCATTTTGCTGGGCCTTCAAACGCAGCTGCTAAGGGGTTAGATTTGGTGGCTGCACAGACCTCGTAGCAGCCGACAGGGAGCCGTTCTTGCAGGTTTTGAATGTCGGATTGTCCACAACCGTCATTCCGCAAGGAACTGTGCTCGCTTCACGGCGACCCCGGTGCCTTGGGGACCGGAGTCGCGGGGACACGTGCATGACACGCCGCAGGTCCCACCTCCTTCCGAATCGGATGAGAGATGGTTGACGCGCTCTGCACAGGAACACGGGTGATCTGTCTCATTCGCAGCGAATTAAATTGCGCCTCTTCTGCGAGAATTTTCCGATGTCTTTAGTAAATCTAAATTGATATTGGCTGCACCAAGCTGCTGCGTCACCACATTGATACTGGTGACGCTGCCCCGATCGGACAAACCCCGTTCGGCTTAGCCCGGCGGGAGAAACAGCATGTTAAATCGGCTGTGGATGGACATGCTGAAGGCCGATATAATTTCTCCCATACACTACGTCCCTGGGGTGCTCCAATAGTGCTGGTCAAAAAGCACGATGGCAGTCTCCGTTTTTGCGTTGATTTTCGGGCCTAAATAAAATCTCGGTAGCGGACGCCTACCCTCTCCCTCGTATGGACGAGTCATTGGATGCCCTGGCAGGGGCGCACTATTTCTCACCTTGGAACCTTCTGTCGGGGTTTGGAAACTCCCCCTCGACCGAAATCGTCAAAAACCTAAGAACGTGCTTTTCGGACACCACAGGGCCTTTTCGAGGTTTAATAGATTGCCCATGGGTCTCCACTCGGCCCCAGCGGACGTTCCAGAGGCTCATGGAGCTGGTCCTCGCTGGGCTCCAGTGGGACTCATGTCTCATTTATCTTGACTACGTCATCGTCTTTAGCCGCACGTTCGGCGACAACACATCGACGGTTGCGTGCTGTCTTCTTGAAAATGCGGGCCGCTAACTTGAAATTCAGCCGCAGAAGTGTCACCTTCTGCGTGAGTCTGTGCGCTATCTGGGCCACATAGTTAGCCGCTCGGGGCATTTCTACCGACCCTGAAAAAACCAAATGTGTTCAACATTGGCCGCCCCTACATCTGCGGGCGATGTGCGTAGTTTTATTGGTTTTGCGTCGTACTAACCGCCGGTTTGTGGCTGGCTTCGCGACGATTGCCAGCCGCTCCACGCCCTTACGTCAAAGGGTGGCGTATTCATTGGGGGGACGCAGAACAGGCTGCGTTCGACTCCTTGCGGAACGCGCTCGTGACGCACCGTCCCTTGCGTACCCCGATTTTTACGTGCCATTCGTGTTGGACACCGACGCTAGCAATAACGGGGATTGGGGGTGGTTCTGTCACAAAAAGTTGATGGCATTGAAAGGGTTTGTTGCCTATGGTAACAGAGTCTTGTCTCTTGCATGAACAAAGATACTGTGTGACCAGACGTGAGCTGCTGGCCATTGTTTTTTTATTCAGCAATACAGGCCGTATCTGTATGGTCAGCATTTTACCGTGCGATCTGATCATTCGGCTTTACAGTACGCTCTGCGGGTTGACCAACCGTCCGGGCAGCTTTCTCGGTGGGCTCGAAGTCCTTCAGGACTACGATTTCAATGTCACTTACCGTAGGGTGCACAACACACGAATGCCGATGCTTGTCTCGCCTTCCGCCGGCTCAAAATGTGCGTGTTTTTTGGGCTCGGGCCGTTGTAAGCCGCCACTACGCCTGCGGCAGGTCGCGCCATCTCACAACGGTGTCAGCCGCACTTCCCGCCGCCCTCAGCGCCGATGTTGGATCATGCAGATCCAATGGCCAGTGACGATTTGCTGGGGCTAACTTTGGCCGAATGGGGTCAGCACCAGGGCGAGGACATGTCGTTATTGAGGTTTGCGTCGCCACGCGAATAATGCGGTTTCCAAGACAGGGCAAATTTAATTCATTTGTCATGAAGCGCGGCTTGTGATGCATTGGGATGGTGACTCGTGTCAACATAAAATCGTCGTGCCATCCGCCTTGCGATGCAAGGCCGTATGGGCGGCGCATGAGCGTTTATTGCACCTGGGGTGTTCATAAGACCATTGGGTTGTTGCGGTTTGCAATTTTTCTGGCCGGGCATGCTGCGTGACGTCACTGACATTTTGCTGGGATGCACCCCATTGTGCGCAAACGTAAAACCGCCGGCTAACCGGATGCCCGCCCCTGCAACCCATTTCGGTTCTCGTATAAATGAGTTGGTGGCTCTCGATATTTTGGGCCCTTTTCCTACTACGCCACGGGGTAATAAGTACCTTCTGGTTGGGGTAGAGTATTTTACACGGTGGCCTATGGCCTGGGCCCTCACCCAACCAGTCCGGCGGCGGCCGTTGTGGACCCCTTTGTTCAAGGCTACGTCTGGACAAGGGCGCACCAGAACGGTTGCTGACCGATCAGGGAGAAGAAATTTTTTCGGGAGCCTTCGCTGACTGATGTGTGCCGCCTGTTGGGCACTAAGAAAGTGCACACTTGCGCCCTACCATCCCAGACCGACGCATGGTGGAGCGCCTTCATAGAACTCTCCGACCGCTATGTTATGCCATCATGTCCCCCCCCCCCCCCCCCCCCCCCGAATCCCACCTCGATTGGGACTTGCAGGTTCCGGGGGTCCTCGCCGCATACCGTATGGCACCTCACGCGGCGACGGGATTTTCCCCGTTCTTTCTAATGTACGGCAGGATGCCTTCCTCCCGCCGACGTTCGGCTGGAAATCGAACAGCCACCGCAAAAGTCAAAGCTCGTTGACCACTTGCGATTCAACCTCCGTAAGTTGGCCGAGGCACGGGAGGCCGCCATTGAAAATTCGGCTTCCCGCCAACGGGCGAATTTGCGACTGCGGGACCCTCGGTCGTACACGCATCGGTGGGCACCGGGAGACAGGGCATGGCTCCACTGCCCCCAGGTGCCGGTGTCCACGGCCAAACTCCTCAGACCATGGCGAGGCCCGGTTGAGGTAGTGGAAGTCCTGCGTCCCCAATGTGTTAAAATTAGCTGGGGACGGCGTCGCTGGTGCGTTCACCCTCTCGGTTAAAACCCTTCGTCACGCCACGCGTCCCTCCACAACACACACGACATGGGGGGCCGAGTGTGCGACGCGTCCGACGAGCTGGGATGTTGCCCGTTGGTGCCTAACCCACGGCGCAGGCGTGTCATTCCTCCTGCAGATGACGTGGGAGTGACGGCTCCATGCAGGCCACGTTCGGCCTCGATGGACCGTGGAGCAGCAGGTGTCCCCGTGGAGATGCCTAAAGGCCCACCGGATGCTCTGGCTCATCCTCCTCCTTCCCTTGTGCCGCCGACAAAGCCTGCCATCCCTACGAGGGCCCCACGAAACGCACTGCGCGCGAACTCTCGCCGGTTGTTATAATGTTTTTTTGGCATGTCTTGTGCCTTGTACATACGTTATGTTGTTAAGGGGGGTATTTATAGGGGTTTAATTGTTCTTGTTGTTCGTGAGGCACACTCACAATTCTTCTACCGTTGGTAATTTCGGAGTTTCCCATTGTTGCAGCCGGGACGGCTGGAGCTTCCGAAGGAGGGGGTGATGTAGAGGTGTTAACTAAGCGCTGTTGCGTAACCTGCGTTGCCACCAGGGCGGTGCAGCATTACCCCTGGGTACAACCGGTTGGGGTCAGGTCGAGGTGAAACGGATCGTGGCCAGGGTTTGGTGCGAACCAATCAGACGGTTCCACGTGGGAATGTATGATTGGTTCTACCTGGCCACGAAGGGGTATGAGACGGGTGACCCAACGGACCTCGAGGAGTTCTCTCCCTGCACGAAGACAGAAGACTGGGCTTGAAGCCTAGCTAGGACCCTGGACCAGCCCTTCAGCCCTTCTAAGGGCTAAGGCTCGGCATACCCAGTGGTCAGGACCCAACCGGGCCAGCGGTGGGTCAGATAGCCTCCCCTAGGTCCTAGCCGAGGACTAGGATAGCGGTAGACGTGTGAGTCCCGCAGGGTCCGGAGGCTGTAACCTCCCTAGGGTATCGGGTGAGGGGACGAATATCCCTCTGTGTGTGTTAAGCGTTGTATAAGGAAATAATACAATAAACAGAGTGTGCCTCCTAAGAAGTCTGCTCGTCCTTACAACACTACAAATATATAGAACACCAGGGAGAGGGTCCATGCCCTGCCACGAGTCCCCATGAAGGTCCGGTGATCTAGACAAGTACTACGCACCGTCAGGATTGCAAGGCCTGAATATTTTAACATATAAAATACAATCTCACGTTTCCCAAACTCCAAAAGTGGAAAATCATCAGTAATGAAGCCAGCATGAGTCAATCTGTGTGTGTGCGCGAGTGCATGTACATGGTGCTTCAAAATAATGTTAACACTTACATGGGACTATAGTTTTTAAAGGAAGATAACGGATAATACACTATAACATGATAACAAATGTAATGTTGATAGCTTCAAAAAGTCTCCACCTGTTGGCCATAATTGTCAACAGATTCCTGGAATCTTCTCCAGATGGTCTCCAGAGCCCGGAGGCAGCAGCACATTTCTCGTGGTTTTGTTGCAAATTCTCAGAAGTGTTCAAACATTTGAAGCGCCCTGTATGACGAGGCCCATAGTCCTACACACAGGCTGAGAGGACAGCACCGTCTTCCAAGGATCCTAGACTGAGCAGTGAGCTCGCAGGATAGTTGGGACCGTGGGCCCTTGAAGATCAATTCACATGGAGAGTGAACTCATGGCCACACGGTGCAAGCTAGGCCAGGATCACCCTGCTGTAATCTCCGTGGTGGATGTCACTCACCGGCTCCCAGGATCCAATGATCCACTGTGGGCAGGGCTGGAGGGAGCAGCTCTGCCGAGAGGCCGGGGCAGGCCCCAGGGAGGCGAGGCACGCCGACTCGTCAGCAGGAGCAGCAGCAGTAGCAGCTGCCGAGGACGGTACCCGCCCGTCTTGGCCACCGACACTGCCATTCCGGCCGGAGCTCATGCAACGCACGGGCCGCGTCTGCTCACCTGCGCCGCAAGTGACGGAGCAGCTGCCCCAGTCCCCGACGCGCCAACTGATGGGCAGATGGCGCACGCTGGGTTAACTTTAATGTTCGTAGATGGAGGCCGGCCGAGGGCATGGAAGCATAGCAGGCGTGACTTGTGGATTTTGGGGGTGTTCAATCAATTCATGGATGACTCTGGCTACTTTGATGTAGGCTCCCCCCCATGACTACCCACTCTCAGAACCTTAATGTTTTGACGTCTGCGTCTGGCCCAATGGAAATAATTGCCTTCATTGTGAGGCTAGGTTTGGCATTTGTATACGTTGCCACGAAAAAATTGCTTATTTTCTGCTGAGGTCAAGGATAAATCAAAGGTTTCAGGACATTAAATAAAAAAAATTGATTATTTAAAGTCAAATGTGTTGGTTGAAATGTAGTTTCTGTAAATTTTTGGCGCAGCGCAGCCAAATGTAATGAAAGTAGTATCAATACATTTATTTTCATCAATATGGTCGATATGCGCCTCCTTTCTGCCAAACCATGCATTCGGTGCGCGCTAAGACTTGAAATGAAGCATTGATCATTAAAATTTTTTTCTCAATAATTCCAAAAGGAAAAAAAAACACGAAGAAGGATTTAAGAGGTGGTCTAAAATATTAAATATAAGCCGAAGAAGCTGTGCTAAAATCAGTAACCCCCCCCCCCCAAAAAAAAAAACCGAACTAATCTGTGAAGTCATACACGGGTTAAATCCACTTGGGTTCATATTTTTTAAAATTTATATTTCCAAATTCAATTACTTTAAGACAAGCGTTTAAGCCAGGGGTTGACAATCGGTGGCCCAGAGCCCGGGGGTGCAGTCCAAGTGGCTTCTGTGGATGTTGAGTGGTGGTGGGGGAGAAGGGGCGCGACGCGATATCGAGTGGGCAGACAGACGGCCACGGAGAATGAAGTCCACAGTGCCAGTTGCCCAGCACGGTGATCATTAACGGACCGTGGGGCAGAAGTAGCTGCGTGGACGGATGATCGCATAATTGTTGAGTGGGCGTGTGTGCGCCCAAAGGCTTATCGATAGCCGTTTTACGTGAGAATATACATTGATTTAACGTATCTGCTGTGACCAAAATATTTCACGAAAGATGAATTTGCTGGACCTCCATGAAGTGGGTTATAATTCGCTGCATTGTGAAAAGGAAATCGTTTAGCCTGGTTTGACATGAACTGTTGAGTCATTTACAACATTGGGGCCGTAACCCTTCGGATCCGTCTTGCCAAAGCCTCCAAGTGAGCTCCCTTCCTATCCCCAAGTGTCCTCCTCCACCCATTAGGCTATCAAGCACAGAGAACCCTTGGTGTCCAGGGTCAACTCAGGGGGAAAGTGAGCCACATTCCCAAGTGCATGTGGCTGTACTTAACCGGTGTATTTATCATTGTGGCGAAAGGGGTCGCTGAATCAAGGAGAACATTTGAGAGTTATAAATCAGCTGGTTGTAGAAGCCTCTGCCAGCTTCGAGGATTATTGTTGGTCAACAAGGGACAGACTCTGTTCGACTGACTCGAAGGAATAACACGGAGAAAATATTTCCCAATTGGATATCAATAGTCGACAACACCGCGTATATGTATTGCGTATTAATTACGCTGGGAGTCGTCAGTAGCATAATCACGCGGCACGTCTGGTGCACACGCCGTCGAGAAGGAAAATGAATTCATCTCTAGGAGATTGTCACCGTCAGTCACCACCCATCACCCAGTGGCAGACTCTGTGGTCTGTGACTTTGGGACACTTTCCACAAAATGCAATCAAAAGTGATTTGGATTTGTCGGCAGAGGCGATGGCATTCAGTAGTGGTGCACTGATTCATGACCCCGGTGAGTCAATGCATTTTTGTGATTCAGAGCCACAATTTGATTCAAGTATTGATTTGTTTTTGTCCCATTTGTGCCACCTCATGTCTCATCTTTACAATAATTCACTCCGTTAGCCTAAGTGTACCTTTCAGCGTATAATTTGCATGTAATATAATGAATTATATGAAAATACTTGTTCGTATGCACACACTACTTTAAACATCGAATTTCGTTATTGCATTGCTGTTACGTTACTCCTATATAACATACTTTACGTAGATATGTTAGCAATACATTAATGGCCAGTTTAAAAGGATTTATTGACGTGTAGGTTCATCAATTAAAAGCTATTATTATGCCCATGATAGGTGTATCAAATAATGCGTGTGACAATTGATAATTTACAGTCATGCAAATTATATGTTCATGTTACATTTAGGCGAATGGTGCAGAACAAAACTTCATAACTAAGACCCAAAAAAGGGGAAACACTACAACGGTGCAAAAAACAGGACCGACATTTTTCGATGTTTGAATCGAATCGGAGCTTGAAATTCTAACAACTGAAATAAACCCAGATTGTTACAATGCATTGAATGGCAGGGGTGAGATAGGGAGGACGTGGCATGCCTTCTAATTTAACCTAGCCCTCCGTAGCACAATGTCATTCTGCAGGATATGTTATACACAACTGCATACTAATTGATTTACCTTCATATCAGAGTTACTTATTCACCTATCTCAACGTCTGCCATTGCCACCTCCACCACCACCACCACCATCACATTCCTCCTAAGGTTCATGAAACATGCTTAGCATCAACACCGCCAGCTAAGATCAGATGAGAGCGGGACGAGTCAAGCTGCAGCCCGCCCGGAAGGGACAAACAACAAACATCTTAGCAGGCACGCATGCGGGTTTAAACACCATCTTAAAATTGCACTCTCTTCGCTGCTTGTGGCCCACAAACCCAAAAACGCCGTGAGATTTGCTTGCGGTTTGAGTGGGCTTAGCGGCTCAACTGATCGCCCCGCGAGCAGCAATCGCACCGCAGCACCAGCCCAACGAACCCGGTGGAAATTGCCCGCGGCTGAATTTCCACGGCCGATGGGGGGGGGGGGGGTTCGGCCCTCTGCCAGGAGCCGTGGCCAAGACGGTGGCTACCAGGAGCCGCCACTCCTGCTGTCTCCCCCCGTGCCCTGACATGCGAAGGCCCCGGAGGTGAGAGCTTCCCAATCACCCCCCCCCCCCACGCGCCAGCAGGCCCTCTTCCCCTACCCTGCAACCCCCCCCCACCAACCCCACACAGGTCCCACCGCTCCGCGGACGAACTCGTCTTTCACGGGATTATTTGTTATCGACAGAGGGTTGATGAGGGGAGGGAGCCCTCAAGTCGGGTTTGGGAATTGCAGGACTGAATGGCGGCATGTCGGTTTTGCAGTTGTGCCGTATCATCGTCTGATGTGTACAACACGTGTACACTGCAGCGACGAACTGGGGATTGTTTAATGTTATCCAGCGTTTCCAGCTGTTATGCAATTACATTCTTCATATTGGTGTATTTGCATTTTTTTTGTTTAAAATGTCTGCAAGAATTTTTTTTATCTCATGCAGTGTAATGGTTAAAGGTTCAGTCCTGCAATTCCTTGCTCATACCAGTGCTGGCAGAGGTGCCCCAGGGAGCTCTAGAATAGTGCCTTTAGATGGTATTTTTGACCTACTCTTCCATTTAAACTTCTGGTGGAACAGAAGTGGGTCAGGATATGTAAGAAACATGCTCTACTGATTCAAATGTCTTGACAGGAGATCAAGCCAGTGACCTCTGGATTGCAAGTCCAGCGTGTGTACAATTATACCGCGGGCAGCATCCATACAGTATAAATATTCTTAAAACTACACGTAGTATACATAGCTGCATTAACAGGGTATGCCATGTCATGCATCTAAGTACACAGGAAGTACGTGTAGAGGTACGTGTATTGAATGACTTGTCAAAATGATGTTTTTCTTTCTAATCAAGATACTAGCAGATGATACGTTTTTACAACAAGCAATTGTGCCTGGGTAAAATAGGGTGCATATGCCGTGGACTTATCAACATTTTAACCTGTGGAGCTCTGGGAAAGTTATGTACACGGCATATCCTCCAAGCTGCTTGAGATATTTTCCACCACCATTATTAAAGCATGCGTACTTACGTGAACGCGAGTGACCTCCGTGTGTGTGTCTGTTACCTGTAGTCCATCCACGGGGCAATGTGTGGCCTGTGCCCCTCCACAGGTCTATACTTGAATGCGAGCCTTTTAGTCGTGTGCGAGCAAGAAAAAACATTTATCGTAAACGCATTGCAGTTGTCACAAGACCAGAGAGCACGATGAACGACCCAGCACGGCAGTGGGTGTGTGCGACTCGGAATTTTTCGGTACAGAAGCAGTAGCAGCAGCATGCTCTGGCGAGCACCCCAGTTGCAAACTCGTACATGCCACGGGATTATTCGGTTCAGTTGGCGACGCCTACATTCATGAAGCCCCCAACGGACGAAAACATCAAAAACATTGACGTACATTTTATTGCGGGTTCAACTCTGGTGTTGTGGTTGGCTCAGTCTATCATCGTGCTGGGGTTAATACAATTGCTCCAGCTACATTTAGTGGAGCAACATTTTTTAACTAGTCTGACTGCTGATGAGACGCAAAATGTTCAAACTGGCCCAGAATATGCTTGCTGAAAGAAATGCCGTAGGATAATGCGGATCCGGAATGCCAAATTTGCTGCTGGGACTAAAACATTTTGTATTGATATTGTAAAGCTCAGAATGGAGTTCTGCGTATGTATCCTTTCATAACATTTTGTGTAATGTCAATCAACAGAGGTTGTCCTGTGGAAAAGACTGGCCCTGGCCATGGGAATGTGGTATTGTCACCACTGGAACCAGACCACCAACTAAAGATGAACAACCACCACCGTTTGCCTTCTTGAGCAAAAAAATACACTTCGACTTAAAAAAAAAGATGATTTTTAGTTTTTTGTTATTGTGATATTCCGTTTCATATCAAAGCTGTGGCAATGCAGGACTTCTCCCACTGCCCAGCCTCTAGTGCGCCTCTCCCTGTCATGTGTCATGGATTTATTTGGGGGGTACAAAGTGGCTCACCGGATGACAGCGGGGCAGGGGTCAGTATTGCAGGAGCGGTTGCTGGCCGGCCTGATGTCCCCCGCGCAGTATGCGTCTGGCAGGACCTCATTATCCGACGAGCAGTACACCGTCCGGGTCTGAAACCCTGGCAGCCCCAAGAGAAAGCATGGGGGGACGCTCAAAGACAAAAACGCCTTTTTAATTCCTGTCGTATGTGGGGCTGCCCATGCTGTATGTATGTACATTCCGTGTTGTATGTATATATGCATGTGTGTGCATGCCGTGTTGTGTATGTATATATGTGCGAGTACATTTCGAGTTGGCGGTGCGGCAGTGCCGTGCTGTGCGCGAGACGCGTTACCTCCGCTACATTCCTTGCCGCAGGAGCCCCACGACCCGTGGCTCCATCCGTAACCGAGCTGGGCACGATTGCGTTTCGCGGGCATGAAATACTCGTAGTGGATGCCCTTGTTCTCCTCCTGGCTGATCAGCTGTGAGAGGGTGGCACGGGTCACAGGGCTTCCCCTATTCGATGCCACGTAACGCGGTCATTTTTCATCAGTGGGCCAAATGGCACATTCGACGAGACAAGGAGTGAGAATGGTTATGGACGTTTGCACACGTTGGTGATTAAAGAGGCGTTACGTCTCAGAAATGTGACGTGCGCTTTTGTACGTGAGCTAGGTTGACAAGTTCGAGCGAAGGTTGCTGTGTGTGTGCGTGCGCGTGGTGGAGATCTGTGTCTTTGTGGTGGTCAGCGCGCTGCACAGTGAACCTTGACACTTCCTTTGATTCCCGGCCAGGGCCTAACAGCAGCAGCGAGTTATATCTGAATTGGTTCTAGGCCTCCCCTAGGTCAACTCAGCCTTAAATGAGTACCTGGCGCAGTGTGTGTAAACATCAAAGCTGGGAGATAAAGGTGCCCGAGTGTAATGCTGGTCACACCACCCCCTTCGTGCGGCGTGTCAGCCTTGATAGGCGCTCGCAAACAGAACCTGCCCCAATAGTCTCTTCAATGCTATATGGGGGGATCTTGGTCTTGGTCTTCGATGTACATGTGTGCTTTTGTACATGAGGTCCAGCTGAGTGTGTTCATGACGTCCAGCTGTGCGTATGTGCGTGTGCTAAGTCCAGCAGTGTGTTTGCTCAAATGTGTGAGGTGCAGCTGTGTTTGCGTGTGTGAAGTCCTGCTGTGTGCGAGTGTGTGCATGCATGTCTGCACGATGTCTAGCTGTGTGCGCGCATGTCAGGTCCAGCTGTGTGCGTCTCTTTGGTCAGGTTGTGTGTGTATCTGTAGGTCTGTGTGTGCGTGTGTCTGTCGAGTCCACCTGTGTGTGTGGTCTCTTTGATCAGGCTGTGTGTGTGTGTGTTTCTCTGTGCGAGTGTGTGATACCGGAGTGGTTAACGCTGCTGCGTTACGCTCACGGCCAACACCAATGACAATTATCTGAACCGGTACTGGGCCTCCCCTGGGTCGACTCAGCCTAAAATCAATAGCCGATGCGGTGTGTAAACATCAGCACTGGGGAGACAAAGATGGTCAGGCGAGATGCTGCCCACCCGTCCACTGCATGTACCGTGCAAACTTTCTTAGATGGTTGCTAACAGCACTTGCCCCAAAAGTCTGTTGTATGTATGTTGAACTTCTTTAGCACCGTACACAGACAACTGTGAAATTTGGAGGTGCAGGGGAAGGACAACAAACTGTACACAGAAAGCAGTTCTAAGGAAATTAGTTTTCAATTATTTAAAAGTGCATAACTCCAATGGCTTCCTAATATCGGAAGTAAGAGCGTTCCAGACAGCCGCAGAATTGCATGTGAATGCGTACGATTGCGGTGACCGTCTTTGTCAGTCTATACAGAAGGGGATCTTCTGTCTTTGATGTCCCGGTGTGTGTTGGTATGTGTGTGGGGGCTCTGGACAGTTGGCTGGTACATCTACCAGTCATCTCAGTCAGCCAACCCATGACCGCTGAGTCTGCCCCGCAACCTCCTGCTTCACGTGGCCTCAAAGTGCACCCGGCCTGGCACGGGCGCCGTGGTGTCGTCACCGCCACTTAGCGGCGAACGGCGGCTGTGTTGGTGTTGGGCTCTGGGTCAGGAGCAGGCGCGCGCTCTCCACCTCGACGAGCAGGGGCTCCGTGGTGGGGCCGCTGGCGTGCACGCTCTGCGCCGAGCGGTGGCTGCCCTCGCTGCGGTCGTACTCCACCGTCGTGCCGGCCGCGGTGAACGTCTGCGAGTAGTCGACCGTCCAGTCCCCGTTCAGGTGGTACTCGCCTCGCAGAGTGCGCACCGCTGGCACCAACACAGAGCCACTCGATTAATCAACAACGACAACAACAACAACGACGTCAACAACGTCGTCGTCGGCAGCGGCACCGTCCTCATCAACTTTACGGGCGGCTGGTCGAGGAAGATATCGTCGTCATCATGGTCGTCGTCGTCGTGCAAGGGTTGAAATAATTATGGTGCAACATTTATCAGTGTAGTAGAAAAAAGCTAACATAAAATGAACTCAATAAATCGTTAAGTAATTAAATGGCACTAAAAGTCACAATTACGGAAAAAATGTAATATTAGCCAGTATAAACAAATAAATGAAATGTTCTTGATGAAGCATTAAAAAACGTTACAGCTGTACTTTTGAGCCAAAATAAATTGTCAATCTCTGTGCTCACACAAGCCACCCACCTCCAAATTCTAAGCCAACCACGCGCCTGCAACAATAACTGAATAATTCTTACACTCCTGTAATTATGAATTTACAAAACAACTTAATTAATAATTGCCAATAAAGGCCATGGTTTAGAGATGATTACTGACAATGTCGTCGATGCTACCCTCACCCCTTGAAACCATTTCTGTTTGATTCATAGCTGTTTGTTCTTGCCATTTTAGTGACTCTTGCCGATGAGACGAAGTACTCTGGCTTCCTGAGTTGTCACCCGGCTAAATAAAATCAACTTGAAACTCGGAAATTCCTTCTGCCACAAAGGATGACAAATCAAGGTCTTGTATGTATGTGTAGAGGAGTAATTGATGACGTCATGTCACCCTGGGGGAGATAATTGATGACGTCATGTGTCCCTGTGACATATATAAGCAGGGACCCGTGACGTGGCGGGGTCGTCGTCGAGAGGGGTAGAGAGTCGAGACCCAGGGTAGAGGGAAATTAGCACCAGGCTAGGGGGGGCTACTTCACCCGGCCGGCCGAGTTGGCTGATCCCTCGGTCGGTGCTGAGGGAAGAGCCCGAATAGCCTGGGTAGGTGCTCGGGACCTTCCAGTACCCTTTCTCTGGGGAGAACTATAATTAGACCAACCATCCATTGTTAGGCGTAAGCCCTGTTTAATTCCTAGGCATACGCCCCTAATAAACCGGCATCAGCCCTTACCAAAGAACCGCATCAGCATCGTCATTTGCACCACAACATATGTATTGTACGTTGAACTTCATTCGCACCGCAAGTAGCCAACCGTGCTAATCGCAGGCACGGGGGAAGGACAACAAACGAAACACTAAAAGCAGTTCTAAAGAAATTAGTTTAAAATCTAGATGATTTCTTCACTATTGTTTCATAATCTCAACACTTATGTCTATTAGTATTTTGTGTGCGAAACTGAGGGGTTGTATTTGTGTAAACAGGTGGCTTGAGATGGTTTTGCGCCGTATGTTCTGCCACTGCTCACTGAGCCCAAAGCGCTGTCTCTTTTGTTGATGTTTCTTATTTCGTTCCGCATGTGCTGTTCACATCCTGGGATGTTTTTAGTACGTACCCCGGCAAACATGCATCTACGGCTTCACAAAAGGGCAGTCGGTGTACATTAGTATTATAAAACATTCGGGACATTTGAGGCATTTATCTGTCTAATTAGTAATGTTTTTTTTTTAAATCACTGATATCCCAGCCTACAGAAAAGCACAACCCCATCTAGTTATGAATAACTTCTGAGCAGCACCCAACAGGACCTTCCGTAGTGTCTGAAACAATTAGCCTATCAAACATGCTCTGCTGCAAAGGGTATTGCTATGTCATTTAGTCTCAGAGATAATAACAAGACATCGAACACAGCCACTAATTTACAGATTTTTTTAAAATTTATTTTAGTCTGCAGTCAGCGGTGAGCAGGTTCGAGCTGTCGCTAAAAAGCTACACTAGAGAGACCTCTCACGTTGCAAAGGCCATGCTCATATTACACTCAGTCTGCCTTGAGGCTTTATCTGAGCAGCCCCCACTCAATGGTCTCATGTGGACATGCGGCAAAAAAAAACCACCGGCACAACCACCCACCTCGGGACGTCATGGGTTCATAGACCCATGTGTGGTATTCGCAATGACGGGTTCTTTTCTATGAACGACAATTGATCTTCACTTTGCATGCGCAACCTAATGATGGAAACGAAGGCTGATTTCCATTGCATATTTCTACGCTCCCCACCCTCACCAACCCGCACTGACCAGCTTCGCGAAGTAAGATCAAATAACGATGCACGGCCCACGTGGTGTTGGGAGTCCCTGATGCAGCAGTGGATTGACAAAGAGGGCTTTACGTGAACGTATGGGGTTTTGGCGGTGCAGGTTGGTGCAGGACTGTGAACCAGATACCTGAGTTCGATTCCAGGCCATGGACAACATCAGTGCCTCGTAAAGTTTTAAAGAGCACTGGGCCTTTCTCCCCTCCCCTTTACAAACCTGTACTAACCAGTCAGGTGATGTATGATAAAACACCCAAAAAGGGTTGTACATGTACATTAGTGAATACGAACGACATGCAAATTGATGTTTTTTTCAAAGTCTACAAATGTCATCAATAGGTATGTTGAATAAAAATGTGTCATAACCCTCCACCACCCGACACGGCCAATCAGCAAAAAAAGTGTCACGTTGACAAAAGACAATTAGTTCACTACTTTAGCCCACCGGTGTGTTGAAGAGTGAATCCACAACATTTACAGTTTGAATACAAAGTTTCGCTGGTAATTACATCCAGCATCATCGGGCAATTCGCCAGAATGGTAAAGCCCTCACTTGCTCTCGGTCTTGAATAGAGCAGCAGGGTGATGTCATCATTTAACTCATTTCAGGTGCAGTGATTTGTGGATTCACTCTTCAACACACCGGTGGGCTAAAGTAGTGAACTATTTGTCTTTTGTCAACGTGACACTTTATTTTGCTGATTGGCCGTGTCGGGTGGTGGAGGGTTACGACACATTTATAAATAACGCGATCTAACCCAAAAACCTTTATTATGAATAATATTGGTCGCGAAAGCCTACGTGTTAAACTGAGGTATGTTGAACTTCTTTTGCACACTACATAGCCGACCGTGGCAATCAATTCCGCATGAACACAGTTGCCACGATCGATGTATTCTCATGTTGCGATCAGTGCACCAGAGGAAACTTCACCGAGGAAATTCCTGCTCGGAATCATCTCTTTTATGAGGATGCTTGTGGCTCCCGCTGGGACGAGCACCACGTGGCTGTAGCCTGAAAGCACACAATCACAGAGGACATATTTGTACCTTCACGCGGGCCTGAACTGACAAGATCAATCGGGAATTTGTGCAGCGTTCACTTGGTAACACACTCCCAGTGTAATGTCAGAGCTGCGTTCTCATCGGTGGTGTAACAGGAATGAGATGGGCCCCCTCTCATGTCTGTTTACCCTGCCCTCCTTCCCCTGTTCGCAGCCCGTTGCCTGGGCCCTTCCGGCTCACGGGAACCAGTGCAGTTGCACTGGTGCCTGCACACTCGATAGGCACGCCACTTATTCTCACCCCGCCAGGGGACCAGCAGAATGCAGCCATTGCCTAAAACCAACATTGTTGAAACACTGTGATGCAAATTGAAACGAACTAAAAAAACAAACTCCGATGCAAAATAATTATATAACCGGTGCAAATGAACCGCGCCCAGTAACGGGGCCCGTTATTTCAACCGATTTGCATGATGATGCAAAAGTCAAATTTTAAGTGACACAGTTTCCCCGGCACAGCTTGCCGCAGGAGAGTGAGCCAGCTCACACCTATAGGCAGCTGGGACTTGGTGAACACGCCCGAGACCGGGTAGCAGGTCCTGCCGTCGCCTCCACACACGCGGCACTTGTCCTCTGCACGGTCCGACTCCAGCTCACCGTCGCAGCCGACTCGCTGCACACGCAAAAGCATTTGTAATTCGTTTCTTTGGGGTTATATCGCCGTGGAATGTGTGATGTAATTTTTTTTTACTCTATAACCCTCCAAACCACCCGATGGAGCCGATCAAATCGAGTAGTCACGTCATAGGCAAATATGCCAATTGGTTTGGTTTATCGGCAAAACCCGAATGCTGAAGAGCGATCGAAGTATTAACAATTTTTTTTAAAATATGAAACGAGCCAAGCGGGAGTGGCTAATTGAAGCCACAGCGCCCGGTGGTTTCACGTTAGTTTTGATCCCGTTGTATAGCAGGCTCGGACGCTTTAGGGCCCTGCTCACACGAGAACTCTGCTGTGGGCAGTACGGAGCGGAGCGCGTTTTACCACGAGCTTCGTTGGGTTATTTTTACAGCCTCCTGCCCCACGATGCGTTACCACCTTCCCACCCCTGTGCGTGTGCAGCAAACAATTCGCGGACAACTCAAATGATCAAACTCCCTTCCGTCTGCACGCCCCCTCCCCTACACCCCCATCCCTGAGGCTCCTCTTAATGTATTGTGAGTCTACAGTCATGCACGGTTATCATCAACTTCAAGGTCACACAACGTGACATTTGGTAAAGAAAAATAATACAATATAGTGGAACCAGTATTTTAAGAATATATTATGAGATATTTCACGAAAATGAAATATGAAACTGATAGTATGCCCTGTAGTCAAGGACATTTTGCTGTGTTTAGACTGAGTTAATAATAATTTGAAAGGCGCTTTATAAAACTGAGTTTATTATTATGATCATATCATTATGGATGCAACTTCATGGCAAATGCACCTTCCATCTCGCACACTTAAAACATGACTGAGATTTTTAGATGAGTGGGAAATGGGATGTGAGAAAGGAACTGAGGTAAAGGTACTTTGGACGTTTGGCATTTTGAAATATTCATGCGGTATTTGGTTCGCGACGGTATATGAATTCATATTTGAAGCTGTAGCGTTCTGTTTCCTGACTTACTGCCTTAATTAGCTGTAGCGTTCTTGCTGTGTGGTGCACCAAGGTCTTGATGCTGTTGTGTTTGTTTCGTTATCAGCCTGTACCATTCCACGACTGACCAAAGCCCCCCCCCCGCCCTCCCTGTTCTTCCTTTCCTTAAGCGTTCTTATTCAGAAGTGGCCTCCGAGCTCTTTGGATTCAGCCCGCCATCTCTTCCACTGTATTCCACTCTAACGTTAATACAGTCAAATCACCGCATTGTCTATTTTTTCTCGTAATTTTCGCACTATCTTGTCAAGCACCAACAGAACCCTAGGGGCCTTCACTGCAACGAGTGAATCGGGCTTTGGAAGTGCAACACAATGTTCGTGTCTCAGGCCTGGCTTTGCTCTCACCATGCAGATGCCCTCGACGCACTTGTCTGACTTTCCCAGCTCGCACGGCGTTCCGTCGATCACCGCCAATGCGTGACGGAAGTAGAAATTCTCCCCCTTGGGCATGCAGTTCAGCTCACAGCGCTTGGTCCCTGCGGGAGGAAGGGACACAAATGGACGTGAGTGGCATTGAGCCATTGATCACCTGGGCTCACTGATTTGTTTTTCGTTAAAAGTTATTATATGGAGCTGGCCAGGTGGCTCAGGAAGTCAAAGCGCCGCTGAGATTCAGGGTTTGAGTCCAGGTTATTAAGTGTAGGAAGTCGTTCGTCGCAGCCTCAATCACCGATTACTACAAATGAAGTAATAACATTCAGTTTGGTTTTTCACTAAATTTAGCAAAATTCCAAATCTGTTATAATAAAACATCAGTTTTACTGTGATGTGATGAACATTTTCTGTTGCAGGATATCGAAGGAAGTGCATTACTTCTGAGTATGGATGAAAAAAAATAACATGAACGAATCTCAAAATGAGTTTTATGCTATCTGCACCTGCGTGCTGTTTTGTAACACATGGGGATTGCACTGCTCTATGAGAGTGCCAAATGGGCACTTCATCTCTTGACATGATGCAGAGTGCAGAATTGGAATAGAATAGAAAATACACAAAAAATTTACATGTCATGGTCTGGATGCAGAATGTTTGGGTCTACGCATTCATGTGAATCCTCAATGGTGCGTACTGTCTGCTGTAGGTGTAATGGGCAGTGGGCCACTCAACAGATTGTCAGACATCAATAGTAATGGCTCAGAAGAGGTGTCAGGCAGGTGTTTATATTTTTTCATCTCGGTGCCTCTATGCTGTGGAAACATGGGCCTGAGCCAATTACTTGAGGTCAGAAACAGTTTTTATACTGGAGGAATCTGATGAGCTATAAAGCTCGTTTTTACAGATGTCAAGTCGATGGGTTCAGCGATGGAAAAAACACTTGTTACTAATATTAATATAGTTCCTGTGAGCATGTGGAAATTACTTAAGCTCATAGTTTTAATACAAATCTAATGATTGGCACAACTGGTGATGGAAGAGCCAATGGGAGTTAGAGTGGTGGGGCTTTTGCATTATGTAACAATGAGCCACGTTTGTTCGAGAACAGTAGATTGAACAAGGCATTGCCAACAGCTGAATAGCTGCCCAACTCAGAATTGTTTGGTTATGAGTGCCAATGTTCCTTAATTTGGGTTGATCTTTAGCTCCCTGTGCCACTTAAACACAAATATGTTGGCGTTCAGCAACCCGTGCCACTATTGTGATGGAATGAATTAATTAGCATATTTGGGGTTTTGTTTGAAAGAGCAATGCCAAAGTCGTTTACATTCGCAATGTATCGTATGTAATATCGTATAGAACTTATGCAACCTCTATATACGTCTACTTGTGTATAATAATAATAATAATCATCATTTACAGTCCTTTGCAAATCTACAGCTGGATGATGTCCTCCCCACGCTGTGTCCGACATGGATTGGCTCAACGGCACAGAAATTACCACTAATGTGCTGTGAATCTGGTTACCAAAGTTCAATTCCAGGTCACGGCTAACATCAATCCCCATGACTAACGCAGCAACAGGAGGTCATCATCCAGTGTAACATTGACACAAGGCTGTAACTTGTTTTAATGTTGCATGCCATGGTTCTATGTGACACCTGCAGCCACTTAAAGCTGATACATTTACCATATATATCACACGCATACGGCCAAGCAATATTTCGGGTGGTAATGGCTCGTCGTGAGGTTGTATCCACGGATGTGGTAGAAGGGGCAATGTCAAAGTGGAGTGGAAGATGGCAGCAGCCTTCACGCGACCCACTCTGTCAAGTGAGAAATTACCACGAATGCTATCAACGTGACGACCGATCATCGATCTTCCGGTCTGCAGAGCAACAACACCACACGTATATAAAATTACATCTTTAAACGAAACGTAATTGTGATAATTAATCGAATCGCTTGCAGGGGGTTGGGGGTGGGGGCTGAATTACATTAATCTGCCTCTATTGCTGTGTACGTGCGATTGTGTGCACGGGTGTGGGTAAGTGGGATACCAACCTCCATGGTAGGGCACCCACTTGTACGTTCGCCCTTCGAATGGAACCTCGTCAAACTCAGAGCACTGCACGTTGCGGAACGGACGGGAGCCCTCGGGGCATGCCTGCGGGACACAGAGAGACGTTCACAGCCGCTCTTTCACCACCAAACGTGGCATCATAAACACCTTCTCCCCCTCGCTATCAACCACCACTTGTTTGGAGGTCACTCCTCCTCTGCTGCGCTCACTGCTTCCTCCCCAAAGTCATCTGCGCTGTCGACTTCCTGCTCCTCTTAAAGTCTAGCCTCAAGACCTTTCTCTTTTCCTCTAGTTATGATTTCTAAATTGTATTCCCCCCCCCCCCCCCCCCCCCCCCCAATTGCATCCAGATTGTGCTGTTGGCATCGAGTAATGTGACGAAGTTATCCATTCGGACTTCTTGCAAAGCAGTGCAACCACCCTCTCTTCTCTTTTTAAAAACATAAGCAGCTGATGACTACGTACCTTTTCCCCAGTGATACAAATATCACCCCGTTTTGTTCATTTTTTTAAAAATGCAATTGCATCTACGTGTCATACAAATTCAAATTTTCTAGTTTAAAGGAAGCGTATTCGTGCACAATGGGCCAAAGCACAACATGTAACGTGCAAACATTGTGGGAGGGAGAGATAACATACACGGTAATAGAGGGGCAGGTGCACGTGCAGGTGCACGTACAGGGAACACGGAGGGACACTTCAGAGCGAAGAGCGGAGGCACAATGAGTGGACCTTTTCAAGAGATCCTCTGGACGGCACAGGCTGGATCATAGTTCGTTGTTCCTGGCTGCCACTGTGATGTTCAATTGTTCCCCTTAGACCGGCATTAATTATTCAACGGCACTTCAGCAGTCGCACGACAGGTTGGGGGCTGTGCTTAAATTCTCATTTTCAACAACTGGGCGAGTGTGATGAGAAACTGAAAGATTCATGCTCCTCGTCTCGTGCTCTCCCCTTGCGGGATCGATCGTCAACACGAGAGGCTCACGCACGCCACACATACGCCGCTGCGTAAATTACCCACCGTGAGTGTTTAATTAATGTACGCGGGTGCGCTGCATATGCGATTGATTGACATGCGGCCAAATCGCCATCCCGAATGTGCCCGACTTCATTGGATCTCAGAAGCTAAACAGGTTTTGAGCCTGGTCTGTAGTACTTTGGTGGGTGGAAACCGGGGCTTGTGGATAATGTAGACATGGGGTTGCGAGGTAGCCAGCAGATGGCAGTGTTGAGTGTTACTCCTCATCGGCGTGAGATTTCCCTACTTCCTCGGGTGGCCACGGTGACGAGATGTTAACTACCTCGCCTGGTATACAGGAGGTCGTGGGTTCGATTCCCACCCTGACGCTTGTTGCATATTTGGAGTTTGCGTGTTGTCCCCGTGGTCATCTGATTTACCTCTCCACATTTAGAAACGTGCGTTTAGAGTATTTGGCTGATATAAATTTCCACATGATAAGCCACTTCGTTGAGCTATCATTTGTGGCCACGTGGCTTCTGAAAAAGAGCTATGTAGTTCAGTGGACCTTACCTGGTAAAATAAAAATAGTTTCGTTTAAATAGGTTGTCTCTCACAATGTAATTGCCCAAACATCCCAAAGCAGCACCCTCCTGAAAAATAGTCTTGAGACTGGGTTAATAATTTGCATTATTATAACTACGTGAACAATCCGCACATTCCATTGCTAGCATTTTCTGGATCAATGGCGTTACCATTATAACTATTAATTGGCACTATATTTGTTGTGTTGGCACTGCACCATTCCCGCTGCAAAGATTTAGCTGCTGTCATATTTTTGTTCAAAATCTCCTGTACTCTATACACACGACACAAACTTTTCCTTTGGAGGCGCTAATGCCTGTATGAAAAACCGACTGCTTGGGCCTGGCGTGTGAGAAGATGAGCTGCTTTGTATTTAATCCACGCGATATTTTAATCCGCCAGAACCTCAGTCGATAAGCATCGGTCAAATTTGAATAACTCTTCGAAAGGGAGAGTGCACGCAGCGTACAACTGCACGCGCACTGTATTTCAGTTATAGCCTCAGGTAAAAGAGGTTGGACAGTCGACAAACTGAACCAGATGCTTTCGGTATGTTTCAGCAATTATCAAATTCTCCATTGACATTGGAATTCACTGCAGCCCGTAAATGTGGCCACCTTTTCTCGGTTGCTGCACAGATAAATATCTGAGTGGCAATGGAAATTACGTACGAATGCCAAGCCACAAAATATGTGTTCCGCGTGTATAATTCACATGTGGTAAGAACACACTGTGTTATACTAAGCTTCTAACAATAATTGTTTTGTTCAACATTCAAAGGCGCTGTCCTTCTATCAAACAGCGTCACGTTACCACGTTAAACGAAGCGTTGTGCTCATATTGTTGCATGCTTTATTTCAATCTGAAGCTGTAGCTCAGCAGAGGATGGACCGATGGCCCAGTGGTTTTCGCACTGTGGCTATGAGTCCGATGACCTGAGTTTCGATTCCCGGCAACAACTAACGTGAGGGTCGACGAATGATATCTGAACCGGTACGCAGCACAAAACTGGCCAACATGGTGAAGTACGGTCAAACGACTCCAATGACCAGCATAGTGTCGAGGGCCCTTCATCCAGGAGCGGATTAACAAAGGTCTGTAAATTATTATGATTAGCTTATTTATTGTATCTGATCCTTGCCAGGTTGCACAGTGGTAGACCGCACATCTTATAATAAGCTTTCGAGTTCAAATCCAGATCAGGCGTCGACTCTGCTCTTCTTTCCCTCTGGGGTCGATAAAATGAGTACAACCTCGTGGGAAAGTCAATCGTGGTTGTCCAGTGCAAAGACTTACCCCCGGCGTAGGAATGTGGAATTTCCAAAAATGTTATGATTACGTGTTACTTGTTACAAATCTGCAAGCACTATCTTTGCAGCTATAGTTGGGTTTAAACAAAAGCGTAATAGCTTAAAGGAAATTTTAAACGTAACGTTATGTCCATTGATCGAATGCGAGCAGGTCACGTTTCACACTCCCCTTGTCGTTGCAATAAATGAACCGCACCTGTACGTTGCAGGTCCTGTACATTCTTGTCGATCCGAAGCATTCGGGCTGCCCGTCATCCCTTAGGGAAGCGAGATGATGGTGTGTGCGGGGGTGGGGAGAAGGTATAGAGGGGGAGGGGGTTGAGGTGGGGATGAGAACAAGGCCAGCGTGGGAGAGAGTCGGGGGAGTGTTGTGAGATTCACACACAAATAGAGAGGCGCAGTGAGACTCTGACAAACATTGACAGCTTCCATTTTTGTGGGCTGCTCGTGCCTAATAAATCTACATCGCAGCAAGGAGAATCGATCAATGTCGTCTGGTGATGATTGATGCTTTATGTCTTAAGATGTCTGCTTCAAATAATACATAATTCGATTAAAGAAACATTCTATAAAGTTTGGTGTTAAATTAACGGCTCAAGAGGTCTGACTTAAATTTTTATTTAAAGCTTTCGTGACTGCAGTAATTCATATTCTTAGCTCTTTCGGTAAAGTCACGTTGAAGGGAAACAATAAAATAATAAAATATATAAAACAATATATAAAACAACATAACAATAAAATTGTTTTAGATATTTTATTATTTTATATATATATTATTATTTTATTGTTTCCCTTCAACGTGACTTTACCGAAAGAGCTAATTGTTGTATATATTTTATTATTTTATATATATTTTATTATTTTATTGTTTCCCTTCAACGTGACTTTACCGAAAGAGCTAAGAATATGAGGCTCTGACTTAGCTCTTATTTCAGGCTGGTCTAATCTGAAGTAAGGCCTCAACACTCATATCACCTCTAATAGTACTCTTCAAATACGATCTCAAGTTAAAAGAAAATATATTTTATATTGACCGGACATTTCATCAACTTTAAAAGCCTGCGTAACCACAAACGAAGGAGGTGTATGGTAGCCTGCAAGATTCCACCGTGAATTACGGATCTCACCGCTGTGCATCTCAGGCTACAACATTTCACGATGATTTACACCTCAGCGAGCCAAGCTAAAGGTCATTACAAAAGCATTCAATTACATCTTTCTTGCTTTTTTGGCGTTCTTCTAAAACAAACAAACAAAAAATTGCACAAACAACGAACAACCGCTGACCAGAAAGTCCCCTTGTGTGCTATGTGCCTGCAGGTTTCTATGTCCAAAGCACCGCTGCCATTTCCTTGCAAAGGGTTCCAAAGCTGACCATTGCCTTGGTGTCCTTTGCAATCAAGCTCCACGTGTACGCCCATGCACGTAGCAGAGCCGTCAGAATATTATGTTGGAAAAATAAAAGGCAGAGGATGGTGCTGCAGTAGGAGGTTAATTATACTTGAAGTGGGACGCTGGCAGAAGCGATAAAGTGGCTCACAAAAAGTGAGCAATCATTTCTGGCTTGTCCCTACAAACCCACAGGACACTGTCTCACTTAACCTTTTGTGTGTTTCCTCATCATAAAAAAATGCAATTCACGTTCCATATGGTATCAATCACAAATCCATTCTTTTCCAAAGTCTTGAGTTGGAGGCAATGCCTTTTTACATTCAATAGATTGTATTTGATATTTGCATTTTTTTATTTGTATATATACACATATTTTGAAATCACGTTTTATACTTAGGCAAGACGATGATTCACGTTTGAGTGTTTAAAAACTGGGCCTTTGTTGAGTCGGAAATTGTTGTAAGGGTCTGGCAGTGAACGTAGGTGAGTGGTGCTTACATATTCACACTGGAGGTTATTTCTGCAGAGAAACACATTCTGGTAACAAGGCCCTTAGCCCCTGGCAGGTGCAGTGCTGGCGGGGCACAAAAAATTTCCCAGCCCCAGGTTGCACATTTGCAAGTCAAAGCAACACTTTTATATGCATTGCATGTGGCTGATCCGGGATTAATTTGAGCTGATAAACAAAATGTTTAAGGATGCATGAATCATATACTCAATGCACAACACCCCTTTTCCAATCTACTGCTGGATGAGTGCCTCCCCAATCTTCACCGTGCTCATCAGTGGAGGTTAGTAAAGACGGAGCATAGATGAAGTGTACTGACACAATATTCATCAGTTCTGTTTCTCACTAAATTATATGACATTTTTATTTTGGAAATCATTTCTCAGCATTAATAATTGCTCTCCATCGATCATTAAATTAATTTCTAAAGTTATTTTATTTATCTTGCACTGGGTAAATATTTCTTTAGGCATTTGTGCTTTGCCCCACCATGGGGTCACATGTCCCCTTGCAGGTTTCTTATGGTCTCTCCAGCTCATTAAATTGCCCTGATAAAAGTTAAAGTGACTGAACGACTGCTTGATGCTACCAAAAGTTGTTTGTGCAAATAGGGCACATCCCAGATTTAAATAAGATTAGCTAAGCGGCTCAGGAGGACGATGTGCACGCATCGCACTACTGACGCGCTACATCTGTGGTGAACGTTTTCCAGCCCAGGGGAACGCGGCGCAGAAACAAAACGCCTTGTGTGTCCCTTCGTTTGAAAAGGTCATCATGTACTCAGCATTTGATGGCATCAGTCCAGTGACCTACAAAGGCATTTAGAGACAAATATTACATACATTGGCGTCCAGTGAAACAAAATGCATTGGTGAAATGTGACGTCCTTAAGCCTCACTGCAAATCATGGCCTTTGCTATAAAAAGGGAGTCTGCTGCTGTGACTGTGGCCTATGAGAAGGAATGCCACGTGGTTCCCCTCCACACCTGTGCCATTAAGAATTATCTCTGAAATGGAAAATATAATTAATGACCCAAATGATGATGGCTCTAACTAAATTATTATTGTCAGCATCAATAACCATCACAATAACGTGTGTGTGTATATTGAACTTCTTTTGCACCCTACGTAGCCAACGATGCTAATCGGGGGTGCGGGAAAACAGTGGTTCTGGTCACAGATAATCTCGAGTGTCTACAAGTTCACCAAGCACTGAGTGTTGCCCATCTCCATTGCCGGTACTGATTGTGGCAACTCCGCGTTCCTAAAGCAGGAACCAGGACCTCCACAGAACAATAACAGTCAACGACTGATGACAGTGGCTCAGATATGATGACAAATATTACAACAGCATTAATGCTCATCATTTGCTTTGATTTATATTATTTAACTCCAGAAATGGCATCAGCAAATGTATCGATAGTCCACAGAAAATTGAGATGGCTGGGAGGGCTCAGGCAACAGAGCACTGAGGTGCCACAACTGTGATTTTATGTTTAAATCCAGAATAAGATCCGGCAATTGGTGAAAGTATTCTTTGGAAGGATGGTGATATAATATTTTACAAATTATAGCTTAAAATACATATAATCAATCTTTTAAATGTATTTAGTCAATTAATCTTTTTTAAAGGAGATAGTAACAAGGTTGCAACTGGCAGGCCACGTACGTATGTTCAACCTCTTTTGCACCGTACGTAGCCAACCGTGTTAATCGGAGCACGTGGTAGCCTGACGCGCCCAAGGGTGATGCGGGATACCCAGCTGCGTGAGTCGAACGCGTGGTTGTTGCAGCGGTGACCTTGCACTCTCTCGATTTTGGACACCGTCTAAACATATAACATTGCACGGCATCACCAAATCCACGAGTCGTAGCGTGCGCTCTGTTCGTGGTGACCTTGCGCTCTCACTGCGTCCGTCTCCGAGAAGTTGTATTGTATGCGGCCGTGTTGGAATTGAAACCGGTAATGGGGCTGCAGGTGGTTTAAGCCCTATTCACCAGAGCCACCCAGTGCCAATGACTCCGTACAGAACATGTGCACTGGGGCCCTTTAAATGTCAAAAAAGCACGTGGCTCACCTCAGGTAGAGACAGGGCCTCTCGCGGTGGGTGATGCCTCCCCCACAGCTGCGGCTGCAGGCCGCCCAGTCTCCCCACGGTCCCCACTGATCGGCCTGACGCTTCGACACCTCAAACGCAAACACCCGCACGGACGCGTGTTGCGTACACACACACACACAAAGCACGTGCACACGTGGACCCACGAACCAAAGCACTCAAACACCCCACACACGTCAGTTGAACACGTAGGCTTTCGCGACCAATATTATCCATAATACAGGTTTTTTTTTGGGTTAGTTCGTGTAAACATAAATGTATCATTAAACCCGCCACCATCCCGTCACAGTCAATTATTCAGGTTTGTCACGTAAACAAAACATGCCAATTCGACACAAGTTCAGCACACCGGTATTATGGAGAGTACAACCCACAACGTTTACAATTCGAGTGCAACGTTTCGCCGGTAATTACAACCAGCCTCATCAGGCGACAGCCAGAGTTGTGGATAAATCCTCCTGGTTTGTGTTCACACGTACGCTCACCAAAGCAATTTCAATGCAAACTCTGCGATGTCAAACAACAATATAATAATCCCATTAAATCAAGTATTTGTGTTGTAATGGGACAGGTTGGGGTTTATTATGGGGTTAATATTGAGATTGCACGTTTATCGTGTTGAATGTAATTGCCGCAAACTCGATTTGAATTTAATTGCTGCAAAGATCGTGCCGTGCTCTTGTGCACAGTTTCGCTTGGGGAGAATGCAGAGCGTCAGGATTTTGGTGCCTAGCGCCGTGACTCATCCGTGATGGCCGTGTTGACACCGTCAAGTGGGAGTGGTGAGAAAACGTAATCAGCACGTGTTTTACACCACCGTTCCCACCCACACAAAACAATGAACTCACTGTTTACTCTCTTAGTTGCATAATGTTGCTTATAACCACTGTCAGCATCATCATCAGCTATAGTCAATCCACTGCTGGATGAAAGCCTTCCCCAAGCCACTACCAGATCTCATTTCTGTGATGTCATAATCTTACAGGACGGTATTATAGTTCCAATCAATTTGGGAATTTTATATGAATACAGTCCTTTGTGATTGAATTTTTTTTTTAGATTTTAAAATAAATTCATGATGTGATGGCAGAAAAGTACATATCATCATTTGGTGGACTAAGCTATGATCGACAGTCATGCAATAGCTTTTAGTGTTGTGATCATCAGAAGCCAATCGCTTATCGAAGTGGACATGGACCGCCAGCGCATAAAATAGTTGCTGCTCGTGTTAAACTCGGCATTTCGTCAATATTCATTGTCCATCAGAAACAAATAAAACACAAGTGGAATTAGCAAGGCGAACCGGCCAGGACTTGACAAGGCTATTTATGAGCGTGAAGCTCGTAAATTCATAGACAGAAAATTGAATGCCACAGCTATTTGGCTGCATTCTTCCGAACACAGAGTAATATGTGGTGGTGTTGTGGCCAGAAAACGAAGCCAAATAAACCGCACTTGGTGGGTTGTTTGGAAAGTCAGATTACCGTACTGCATGCCATTATGAAATATAATGCACTCATTTTGCTGGATCGACTGAAGCAATGTTCCTTCATTTGTGGGACTTTGTAGTGTGGGTTTTAAACAAAATCCAATCACACAGTGACAAGGGCAGTCATTACAGCAACACAGAGAACCAAAACAGGAATTCTGTTTCCGTACTTTATTATATTTATTTGATAAGCCAATTTTTTTTTATTACAATTACAACAGTTGTCATTCAACACTTTGTGAATGCACTGTCTTACGAAGGCCTACCTCACGCAATGTCTCGCACATGGAAACCGTTTCACCATCCTTCACCACGCTGGTCAGCGGGGGTGAAAGATGGAGTACACTCAGGAGCAGTTCAGATAGCACTTTACTATTCTATAGCAACTGTGCATATACAAAAACACACATCCGTAGGAACATAGCAAAGCTATTCATATTTTTATAATGCTTAATTTAAGTCTATCTTTAGGTGTCGGTATGAACACCAAAGAGACTATATAATGGTATTCTATTGCATTTAATACACATATTATACACTACATAATATATTCTAGTTATTGAATATGCATGATATACATCAATGTATTTTTAGTGTAGTTAATATACCCCACAGACTACAGAATGCAGTCTCGTGGATTTAATATACAATGTATATATTTATTTTGTCGGTATGTCATCTGTTCTCTTTGTTCTTACCAATATGCATACTGGCGAATATCTCCCCACTTTAACCACTGGTCACAAGCAGAGGCCATGTGGGGACGGGTTCTCAACATTACTCCGTTATTGACTTTTTCCACAGCTCACAATTCATTTGATTCCAGGCTTTGCGCAGTAGCTAAGCATTCCTGTATTGTGCACGCCTAAAGCAAAACGTTAGCAAATGGGCCCAACTGAAATCCTCTCTCACTGGAATGTCTGCCATGAAAAGATGTCTGATGCTTTAGGGGATCTCTCAACCGCACATCTACCCCTGTTGATGAATAATCTACAGTCAACTGCGATTATTTTCCGTTGTGTGAAAATAATTGCGTTTATGGGAATAGAAAAAAAAACATCTTTAAGAATTTTAATTCGAGACAGAAAGCCGTTTGAAAATCTGTGCGTATCACATAGCCTGGCTAAATCCGCACGTGGCTTTATGTATTAGCTTTAGTCCTGATAAGCGGGTATCTGGCAGGTGCGGTGTTTGAGCAGATTGAAGGACAGATTTAGCTTGCAAGTCTATATACACTGTCTAAGCACAAACCCATTCACTTTCCTTGTCAAATGTTTGCCAATGATTACCCCCACAGGGAGACAGTGGAGCACTTACGGGAGTGGAGAGTGTGCCCTGGGGGTGTGGGACCAGGAGCAAGAAGGAGACACTCCACCACATGGTATCCTGCATGCAGTGACACATTTAGACACACGCATATCAAGTATCATGCTTATACCTGTGTGTGTGTTGTTCACATTGTTCACAGCCCTTCGTCAAAGCCACTGGCAACTTAATTGTCATTGTGCTCTGATCAGTCTAACAGTAATCTGCCCGAGCTGACTTACGACACAGTTGTTGTTGCTCATTTATATTTGCTTCATTGATGTACTTTATTTTAATTATTTTGCTGTTGTCATTTTGGTGACCCAGGTCACACGCAGATGACACCATCCTGATCCCTTGAGTTCTCACCCAATTAAATAAAAACTGGGTGAGAACGCTCTCCCCATGGCGTGGTGGTTAACATAATTTGCTTGACCATACTTCACCACGATGGTCAGTGCGAGTTGGTAAAGGTGAGGAGGATGCCCAGGACCAGATGAGATATAACTCGCTACGAATGCCCACTTCGGCTGGGAATCAAACTTGTGTTGTGGATGTACTGTATACATTTCGATTTAAAGCTTTCGTGACTGCATAGATTCATCTTCTTGGTTCTTTCGGTAAAGTCACGTGGAAGGGAAACAATAAAATAATAAAAACACACATTTTGATTTAAAGCTTTCGTGACTGCAGGGATTCATATTATTGGTTCTTTCGGTAAAGTCACCACGTAGAAGGGAAACAATAAAATAATAAAAATATTAAACAATAAAATTATCACGACGTTTCGAGTGCAACACAAGCAATCATCATCAGGTGTGAAACCACAGCAAGAAAACTGCAACACAAGCAATCATCATCAGGTGTGAAAACCACAGCAAGAACATTTTCTTGCTGTGGTTTTTACACCTGCAATGTGTGTTGCAGTCGAAACGTTGTGATAATTTATTGTTTTGTATTTTATTATTTTATTGTTTCCCTTCTACGTGACTTTACCGAAAGAACCAATAATATGATGTACTGTATGTTAATTAGAAGGGGTATAACGATTCGCACCTCTCATTATGCAATTAATTGTTGTGATTCAGGGTCACTATAAAAAATAAAATTTAACAAAAACCGATTGTGGTTAATGTGGTAGCCTCTTGTAGCTCGAGTGATTAAACGAGTCCATAATATGAAATAGCAACGAATTTAAGATGTTCTGATATTTAAGGACATTTTGGATCTTTTTCGTATGTTTGTGTTCACCGGATCGTTTAGATAATATACGAATGTTTCATATCTGCGTGGCAAAAAACAAAGTGTTGCCACCCAGCAGCCCATAAAACTTTTACAAATAGAAATGCAGAAGAAGAGACCACAAGATAAGAAATGTCACTGAGTTTTTAGATCGATTCAAAACCAAAATAAATTAATACATAGTTTATTTTAAAAGTTCCCTAACATACGACATATATGAATAAAATTTATATTGAATCTTACATGTACACATTTGATGCATGTATCACGAGCATAATAGACTATATATTAATTGATGAGCCCATTCTTTGTTATACCCCAAATAAAACGTTGTATCTATTCAATTCAAATAAAAGTTTCATACACTTACACATCAAATTGTACGTGTAAAAATACATACTTACAATTTATGCACATTATATTCATGCGATGTGCTGTTCACGTTTATGCAAATGTAGTGATCAAAGCTCGATGAGAGCGACGCAATGAAATGAGAATGATGAAATTAAGACTAAAAAATGATCACTAGAGACCCCTTGATTGTGATTTGTAACATGCACAATGTTCAAAGCTTCCACATCCCTGTGCTCAGCCCCATTACAACGCAGAATATCCTGCAATGTTATATTTTCATTTCTATACAACCACTTAACAATACATTAACATATTCTTTGGGTCTTTCGGTAAAGTCACGTAGATAGGTTCAAATTAATAAAAAAAAACTACGACGTTTTGATCACAACACAAGCAGTCGTCGTCTTTTTTCCTCCTGATGATGACCGCTTGTGTTGTGATCGAAATGTCGTAGTTTTTGTTTATTTATTTTTTAATTTTGTAGTGTTCAACACGGAGGCACACACTTGACTTGGAGGCAACACGTTTATTACACAGCCCAACGGGGCTAACTACATAAACGTACACACGCTACAAGGTCACTACATAACCGGGTCAGTCAGTAACCTCCTGACTGACCCACGACGCCGAGCGGAGACCGCAGATCGGAGAGACGTAGCGCCAAGGGTTGATCCCAGAGAACAGCCAAGAACGCTCTCGGGACTGCCCCTTGATGCTCCTGAGCGTGGCCTCGCTCCGCCTCCAGCCACGCCCCCTTCAAGACCTTTCCCGAAGGATCTCGACCGAGCATCACGTGTCCCTCAAGCCCCCCTCGGGCCCCCCTCACTACCCTGTCCTGGTCACGTGCCCTCTCGGCTTCACCCAGACGACCATGTCCCGTCTTATTCTTTGGGTCTTTCGGTAAAGCCACGGAGATAGAAAAATTATAAAAATATCACGACGTTTCGATCGCAACAAAAGCAATCGTCATCAGGTGAAAAAAATATAGCGGGAGAGCTGCTGAAGCAGGATGTTATATAGGTTTGAGATGAGCGTAGCCCAAGGGTAAGTGGGCGGGGCTAGAAAGGGAATTTGCATGTAAATGTAAGATCGGAGAGCTGATATACAGTGAGGGAAAAACGTATTTAATCCCCTGCTGATTTTATACGTTTGCCCACTGACAAAAAAATGATCAGTCTATAATTTTAATGGTAGATTTATTTTAACAGTGAGAGACAGAATAACAACTAAAAAATCCAGAAAAAACGCATTTCAAAAATATTATAAATTGATTTGCATTTTAATGAGGGAAATAAGTATTTGGCCCCCTCTCAATCAGAAAGATTTCTGGCTCCCAGGTGTCTTTTATACAGGTAAGGAGCTGAGATTAGGAGCACACTCTTAAAGGGAGTGCTCCTAATCTCAGCTTGTTACCTTTATAAAAGACACCTGTCTGCAGAAGCAATCAATCACTCAGATTCCAAACTCTCCACCATGGTCAAGACCAAAGAGCTCTCCAAGGATGTCAGGGACAAGATTGTAGACCTACACAAGGCTGGAATGGGCTACAAGACCATTGCCAATCAGCTTGGTGAGAAGGTGACAACAGTTGGTACGATTATTCGCAAATGGAAGAAACACAAGAACTGTCAATCTCCCTCGGCCTGGGGCTCCATGCAAGAACTCACCTCGTGGAGTTGCAATTATCATGATAACGGTGAGGAATCAGCCCAGAACTACACGGGAGGATCATGTCAATGATCTCAAGGCAGCTGGGACCATAGTCACCAAGAAAACAATTGGTAACACACCACGCTGTGAAGGATTGAAATCCTGCAGTGCCCGCAAGGTCCCCCTTCTCAAGAAAGCACATATACATGCCCGTCTGAAGTTTGCCAATGAACATCTGAATGATTCAGAGGATAACTGGGTGAAAGTGTTGTGGTCAGATGAGACCAAAATGGAGCTCTTTGGCATCAACTCAACTCGCCGTGTTTGGAGGAGGAGGAATGCTGCTTATGACCCCAAGAACACCATCCCCACCGTCAAACATGGAGGTGGAAATATGCTTTGGGGGTGTTTTTCTGCTAAGGGGACAGGACAACTTCATCGCATCAAAGGGACGATGGACGGGGCCATGTACCGTCAAATCTTGGGTGAGAACCTCCTTCCCCAAGCCAGGGCAATTGAAAATGGGTCGTGGATGGGTATTCCAGCATGACAATGACCCAAAACACATGGCCAAGGCAACAAAGGAGTGGCTCAAGAAGAAGCACATTAAGGTCCTGGAGTGGCCTATCCAGTCTCCAGACCTTAATCCCATAGAAAATCTGTGGGGGGAGCTGAAGGTTCGAGTTGCCAAACGTCAGTCTCGAAACCTTAATGACTTGGAGAAGATCTGCAAAAAGGAGTGGGACAAAATCCTCCTGAGGTGTGTGCAAACCCTTGTAGCCAACTACAAGAAACGTCTGACCTCTGTGATTGCCAACAGGGGATTTGCCACCAAGTACTAAGTCATGTTTTGCAGAGGGGTCAAATACTTATTTCCCTCATTACAATGCAAATCAATTTATAACATTTTTGACATGCGTTTTTCTGGATTTTTTGTGTTGTTACTGTTCAAATAAACCTACCATTAAAATAATGGACTGATCATTTCTTTGTCAGTGGGCAAACGTACAAAATCAGCAGGGGATCAAATACTTTTTTTCTCTCACTGTACCTCAACGACGACGCAGCTGTGGTGGTGGCCATTGTATCGTGAGAGATTAGCATGTCAATGTAGGCGAACCGCCGCAATGGTGGCTGTGCTCGTGAGAGATCCAGCTCGTTAAAAAACGAGGGATGTCCTGACTTGCCGTCTCTCAGGCCGTCACCAGGACTATGCCCCCTAGGGCCCGTTCGCATTCCGTATTCACTCTGGCCCCAGAGAGAGGTTCCAGACGCACAGTAGCACTCTTGTAACAGTGCCTGGCGCTAACACCATAGTGTCACCCTTAGCGTCACTACCATTTGAACCTATCTACGTGGCTTTACCGAAAGACCCGAAGAATATGAATTCCTGCAGTCACGAAAGCTTTAAGTCGATACATTAACAGTACAAATTCACAATATTTCAATAATTACCGTGGTCAATGTCCAACTATTTGCATTTTTGTGTTGAATAATCATCATTTTTGCACAATAATCTGTTCTCATAAACAGCAACTTTAAAGGTAAAATATTCAACAACCATGTTTTATCCACTTCTTGAAGAATACCTCTTAACGTTGTGGCCATCCCTCATGGTCCTGCAATACCATAATAATCTATCACGCTGTTGAACATAAGCTAATCTCACTGCTAAATTTTCAGGGAGATCAACATCTCAGGTTCTCTCTTGTGGCTGCTATCCCACCACCACGAGAATTGTCCATCAGCCCAGTGTGAAACATGGGAAAGCTCCTGGGCCAGATAGAATAAATTGTGGACGTCATCAAAAAGTCAGCACAGCTTTTGGGTAATTAAAAAAATGAGCAGGCCTATCTACTCAACGGTTACAACCAAATGAATTACTTCAATTGTGAAACTATACTTTAATATTTGTAATTTTCTTCAAAGGGAGACAAGTCTGATTTTACACAATTACTAACCAAATTGCCTCTTATCACACATCTTTAGATTATAGAGAACGGAATGGATCATTTAGAGCCCACTAACTAAATGAGAAAGCTGGTTTTCAAAAAGGTTTTTTTTCTAGCTTGACCACACACTATCAATCAGAATCTAGGAAACAAAAAAATAACATAAAATATAATTATGCTCGCCTATTGTAGACTATTAACGTTATTTAATTCAGTGGAAACTGACACAGCCATACATGCTCTGACAAACCGAGGCCTTAATAAAAACGCCATGGGAAATCATCAAAATAATTTACAATGATTAAACAGCTATGCTGAGATTACATTAGATTAGAATCAGAATCTGTATTTAGATTGGATTAATCCGATGAGCGATGAAGCTTTTTTTCACAGATGTCCAGTATGGGCAGATCAGCAATTTGCAACAACAAACAGTACAAAAAACGACGAGTGAAAAAAGATATTTAAAAAGGTAGGCAAGTCACTAAATATAAAACTAAAGAATGATATAAGTCCGCTTTTGATCAAACTTGGGCAAGGCAACAAAAACAACAACAACGCAGTCCCAGACCACACCAAGATAACACCACGCAGCAGTAGTCCCTCAATAAAATGGCACATTAAGATCGATACATGGGTAAGGATCAAAGTTTCAAATCACATTTGAAAACGTAACTGTCGTGGTAAAAAGTAAATCACACAAGATACACAGCAGAAGGGTCATGCAAGGCGATGCACTACTACCAAGGCTATTCAGAGTGACAAAACGTAGTTTATGAAAATTGGAATGATGACATAAAAGGATAAACATAAATAGAGAAAGTATAAATCATTTTATATTTGCTGACAACTGCTGGAAATTAACCACAGGATATGATTGACGAACTGCAATAATTTCATCCAGATGTACTGCATGGGAGGCCTGGTATGAGTATTCAATGATGATTAGTTTAGCCCAGAAGGCTGCAAAGTTGGCTTAAAGACATACAAATAAAATATAAGTGTGTGTGTGCATTTATGGACCTAGTCGATTGCAACTGCCTAAGGTAAATACAGTAGCAGCTATTTGTGTTTATCGTTCTTTGGTTTATCATCATTTTTAAGTGTCCACGAGGGAGCCTAGATTCACCTGTATTGACACGTTTAATAGTTGAATTCAATAAAAATTGTGGTTGTGATTTTAATAATATGTTGCAATGCATGCTGATCCGTGTAGGTCTGATTTACGATCCAAATCTCCCTGCTGTGCGAACTCGCATCCCAATGGAGAAACGCCCAATAGTCGTTAAAACAGTTTTGATTTAACAGATCATAGTGGGTTTGGTATAACGTGCAACAAAGCGAGATTTTAATTATTTCAATAGATTTCACGTATGGAACCAATGCATCGCAGCTGAGTAGACCATAGACGCAAAGTAGGTTTGAAGCCTGGTGAGTATTTGCATTGGTGACCACCGGGCTTTGCCAATTGATGCTGAAAGGTGGCCAGGAGATAGCAGTGCTGAGTGTCACCCCCCGAGTGTCTCTGTGGGTTTTCTCCGGGAATCCCCTGGATTCTTCCCACATGCCAAAGACGCATTGAGGGAATTGGCACAAACATTCCGATGCAGGACTCTTCTGAAACAGTCCTGAAGGCTCAGTATGGCTTTCCCGGTTAATTACTTGACATTATAATTCTAGTTGAAAGCATTATCACGTACCTCATTTTTTGCAATTATTTCAGCGAATGTTGCATTGAGAAACTGGAGTGGTTTTAATATGTTCTTGCAAAACGTTGAATTAAGTGAACGTTACAGCGTTTTCCTGTTGCTATGTTTAGGTTATAGTTTGTATTGTGCAAAACAGTAGCACATATCCTTACACACGTGCGAGCTGAGGTTAAGGTTAAACGAGTGCATGAAATAGTTGATACATTGTTACATTACAAGCATAAGCATGAAACAATATATAGTACACTTTGGAATGTGTTGTCTAACTTGTGTGATTATAGCCCGCAGCCTCTTTCCAAACTACGTGGCCAGGGTATAAACTTCAAGCTGGGCTTACACATGCGGACTACACAAACTTGAATTCCTCTCTCCGTGTCATCTCGCGCACGATGACATGAAGGCTGCTTCTGTCTTTAAAAATATGCCACTCAAAACTAACTGCCTCTGAGTTGCGGCCGTAACGTCCGCAAATTTGCGCGCGTTATAAATTGCATTATTATTATTAAAAGTTAAACTTCACGTGCATGATTGCCCTTTTATTGTAAAACTTTTCATTACAGTATATGCACATTCTATGAAAAAAAAGTGTGTGTGTAAACAGAGTATGCTAAGTAACTCCTTAAAAATACACAATTCCAGTAAGATTGTTGCGTACGAACTTTAAAAGATAGTTCTTTATAGCGGGGGGGAAAAAAACGGTTTTGAAGAATGTTGAAATTGTACTTACGGCTTACAAATGTCTCACTCAGCTGCTAGCCAGCGCGCACACCAGGCAGTGAATGAAGTTAGGTGGGGGCTGGGGGAAATGCGCCTGCGTGATTGCATGCAGAAGTGCAAAAGAAACCCCACCCTGGGAAGCTTGAATAGAGGGGGTGCAGGGCTCAGCGGTGTTAAGGTGGGCGAGAGGATCGTTGTATCCACTATCAGCCGCCCCTCGCATCACTTGCAGGGCTTTGCGAACCAGACGTTCGCAGCGGGTTCCCGTAAATTCAAACTTCGTCAAACCCAATGCCGTGCGAAGGCTTTCTGCACGTCGTGGCAGTCACGGAGGCTGTTTGTCCATAATTCACCACGCTGTTCGGTGCAGGTTGCGTAAGGAGTTGAGGGAAGCCAGGATTATATGAGGATACCACTGGGCACTGATTTGAGTTGTTGGCCAAGAATTGAACTCGGGTCGCCATGTCCATAGTATGGTGAACTGCTTCAACCTTTGTTCCCATTATTCCCCGAAGAAGCTGAAATTGTGCTGAGGTTATTGCTTAGAGTTAAGGGCTGAGGTTCAGTTTAAACTATTTCAGTTCTTGAAGACGTGACCTCAAACCCTTATGTGAATTTGCTATGAACAAAGCACCCTAAATGCACCCAAGCTTGTCAGATCTCAAAAGCTAAGCACTGTTGGACCTGGCTGCTACTTGGATGGGTGACCAGTCAGGATTGGCAACAAGTGTTCTAAGCATGGGGCAGGCGAGGTGCCCAGGGGATGGCAATGTTGAATGTTATCCTCTTGTATGGGTGGGTTTTCTCCGCATACCCTGGTTTCCTACCACAAGCCAAACACTCATTAATATATAATTGGCTAAATATCCCAATGCAGGACTCTCCTGAAAATAATTTTAAATGCAGTTAGACTGTCTTTAGTAAATAAATAGAAATCTTCATACAAACAAATTCCATCTTAAAAAAAACATGTAATACCTTTGACTGAATGCTTTTGACAAGTGTGTAAAATGTTACTTAAAAATATATTGTCGTGGTGACTGTTCCATGGTGTGTTGTTGTTGTTCCCTGAGATTTTAATTTAGAATCCATTTTGCACTGCAATGTGTGTTCAACTAGTTTAGCACCGTACGTAGCCAACCGTGCTGATGGGAGGTGCGGGGGAAGGACAACAAATTAAACACAAAAAGCAGTTCTTAATCCTAATACAATGCTTAGAGATAATTGCATTGAAATTACAAGTGATTTTACAATATCTTTCTGCTTGAACTTAGCGTGCACATTTCTGCAAGCACACAGGCATAATCCCCTTGGACCAACTCGTGTTACTCATTAACATGTTTGGCAGCTATCAACACGCCGCAGGAATGAGATAGTGTTTATTCACGGTGCACAAATAATTCCACGTTGCTATTTACACACGAGGCTACATTGATGATGAATGCCTTCCCCAAGCTGCCAACACCTCTCACAATTCTGCAATGCATTTTACCTTTTGTAATAATGTGACATTATGTGTATGTTGGTGAAATATTTGTTATAAGCCATGATATACACACTGTGCGTATTTGTGTTTATTTAGACATCTGTTGGCATTCATAATTACCAAAACTGCACTCATTTTGTAAACATCTACCTTGGAAAGCAGCTATGTCAACATGCACGCAACCCCTGCGGCCTCGCTGACTATCATGTAACAAACCACATGCTACATTAGCTCTGCTATTTATTTTGGAAATCTGCCTGGAAAGAAATTTGTTCCGGACAGTGAACAACATGAGGTCGAATGCTGCTCATAACGGCACATCATTAAACTTGCACTTTGGAGGAGAAGGCATAGGGCCAGATTTGGCTAATTACTTTCAGATTTGTCTAATTGTTGATGATGGAGACAGTCAATTTTTTGTTTGCCAAAAACAAGGTTAAAAAGAACATTTGTATGTGACCATACCGATTGAATTCCAATGGTGATTGTATTAAATAACTGTTATTTTCTCAATCAATTCCAGTGCCATTTTCATGTGCTTTATATAATACAGCATAGTACAGGTATCTGTGGATTTATGCATTTTTGGATTACGAAATTCCTGTTGGCAAATAATGGACACTTTTCTATGAGCTAAATCCAATTTCCGCGTTAACGAAACTTCACATGGCGTGCGCCAAGAGATGAAACAAAAAGCACCCGGAGGCTGCGTCATCCCTCTGTGCAGCAGTGACGCCTCCACATCGCCTTGCCAGTCATTCCAACGTGCAGAACTTTTGGTGAGTTTCTCGAAAAGGTTGATTTTTTTAATTAATTACTATTCAATCATTTGAAGATTTATATTCGAAATTGTTATTTTTCTCCTGTGAAAAGTGATATAGGTGTATATATATAGGTTAGGAGTAGAGCTTGAATGATTGTTGGAAACAAATCCCACATTTTTTGTATTCAATTCATGGGAAAAGCCCTTATTGCTAAAACTTTGTTCTACGTGAATCCTAAGAATTGCGGCATCCCCGCTGTTCACAGCAAATTCCGTAATCCGCTGGGACCAAAATCCTAAACCTGCAAATTTTAAGTACGTATTTTTGGAATATTGTAGTGTGCTGCGGATTAGAGGGCCTCTAACGCCCGCCCCCCGCCACATCACCGTGAAATTTTGAAATTCTACTATTGTGTGAAGGATATTTTTCACGTGAAAATTGCGTAATTTAAGTGTCAAAAGTCATTTAGTGTGGATCAGTAAAATAAGGTGCTATTGGAATGCACTGGCAAGAGCTGAGACACTGCACAGAGGCATCGGGGTATGATGGCCACATATGACTTATGAGCCTCAATTAAATTGAAGATCATTGTTTTTTCCACCAAAAATGTTTTCTGGAAGAAGATGCATTGGCCGTTGGATGAAATGTGATTCCCTTTCCTTTAGAGCAGTTTGCTGAAGAATAAAACAGTATGCAATGTTGATGATGGCCCTGTTCATGTACAGCCCTTTTATCAATCTCTGCTGGATGAGGGCCTGTTCATGTTATGAGGGTTATATATCCAATCTTGACTTTGCTGGTTGTTGACGATGGTTGAGTACATAAATGTAGGAGCATATAAGTACTGTACAGTATCGTAATGGAATTTGCAACACTGCCCTTTTCTGTCCACAATGTAGCCGTACAGCAGCCTATAACATCTCAAATTTAGAATCTGTATTTATACTGTAGGAATGAGATTAGCTATAAAAGCTATTTTTCACAGATGTCCAGTAACCAATTGAGTTATGCATGGTGGTCGTCCATCCAAGCACTATCCGGGCACGTTGGTGAATTTGATCAAAGCCAGAGCATAGAGGCTAAAGAGATAGCGTGGATGAGAGTTGAAGGCTCCATTTTCCACCATGGGACTAAGAATTGCATTTCAAAACGTGTCCCTGATAGCAGTTTTTTCTTGTAATTTGAATAATTACACCACAAGTAGCTATTGCGTAACGGACCTTTGAAAAATCACTCACCCCAGCGAGGTCCGAGTCACAACTACCGCAAAATCTCGTCACCGTTACATACACATAGGACTCAAAGACACCTTTAGGGAGTTTAACACGTAGGCTTTCGCGACCAATATCATCCATAATATAGGTTGTTTTGGGTTAGATCGCGTAAATATATAAATGTGTCGTTAAAATCCGCCACCACCCGACACAGCCAACTAGTAAGGGTTGTCACGTAGATTTAAAGCTTTCGTGACTGCAAGGATCCATACTCTTTGGTTCTATTCGGTAAAGTCACGTAGGTAAAAAATAAAATAACAAAAATCACGATGAAGGCCGCTTGTGTTGTGGCCGAAACGTCGTGATTTTTGTTCTTTTATTTTTTACCTACGTGACTTTACCGAATAGAACCAAAGAGTATGGTTGTCACGTGAACAGAACGTGCCAATTCGTCACTAGTACAGCACACCGGTGTGTTGGAGAGCCAAGCCAGATTGTAAATGTTGTGGATTTACTCTCCCACACACCGGTGTGTTGTACCAGTAACGAATTGGCATGTTCTGTTTCCGTGACAAACCTCTTACTAATTGGCTGTGGCGGGTTTAACGACACGTTTATATTTATGCGATCTAACCCCAAAAAAACCTGTTATGGATAAACCGTATGGGTTGATAAGCATTTAAAAGCACTGACCCACCGTGGCTTTACATTGGGTTGACAGATATTTAAAAGCACATTGACCCACCGTGGCTTAACAATGGTGTGACAGATATTTAAAAGCACATTGACCCACCGTGGCTTAACAATGGTGTGACAGATATTTAAAAGCACATTAACTGTTGGCACATACAATCCTACAACTTTTGAGAACCCACGTTTCAAAAAGTCGGATTTACGAATCGCGGAATTCTTTCTTTGGTCTCCTCCCTCTCCACCGCGCGGCCACCGTAGGTCACGTGCTCCGCCAGCCAGGTCACGGCGCTCGCCTCCATGTTGCGTTGGTCGCGCGTTCGCTTTTAAAACGTTTCGTATCTCGTCGGCTTGGAACGTTCGCGTTTATCAAGGCGGTAGATCCACGCCCGGGCGCAAACGTTGCTCGTAATAACGGCAGTTTTATATATATACAGGGGGGCCTACTTAGGCCGAAGTGACCGCGCGCGGGTTTTCGCGAGGCGTTTCGGTGGCGGGAGGACCACGGGCCCGCTAGGCCGTGTTTCCTGAGGCCTGCTTCGGGCTCCGCGGAGAAGAAAAGATTACGGCGGATTGATCGGCGGATCTTAACGGCGATATTTTACCACTTTTCGTGATAGTAGTCGCTACTAAGACAATGGCGCAGAATGCGAATAAGCCCAAGTCGTTGGAAGCGCGGCTGCTCGACCTGAGGTAAGGCCCCGTGTGCGGAGTTGGTGAGGGGTGGGGGATTTGAATCCGGAATTAATGGAGTCAACATTTGTTTAAACCTTAATTCAGTAACGATGTTAACATATGCGAGTGTGTGAAGAAAATGTGTGGGGTGCACCTTATTGGGTCGATAATGTCCCTACGTGTATGCTTTAATAAATCCACAGCCCTTGGTCGGTCTACTGCTGGATGAGAGCCCTCTTGCCGAATGGCCGTTGTGTGGAGAGATCTTCGCTTGATTGAACTTACGCGTGAACAAACCCGAAAACTAAACACGCGCTTCCTTTCACCTTTTATTTTGCTCTTGACATGTGCCGCGGTAATCCATCTTGTGTTTTACAGTTGGCCTGCACAGCAGCCCATGCCTTACCCACCTCATTTAAACCGGGCACCTATGGGCATGCCTGCTCTTGGGCCTGGCATTGGCCAGTTCACATCTTTCAGGCCTGGAGTACCTGTGCCACCAGGTGAGACATGCACAGCACCGACTTTTCAGCAATAATACATTCACGAGGTTTTTGTTTACACACTGCAAGCTCAGTGTTTAATGCTATATATCCACGGTTAATCTCGTAAGTGTGAGGAGTGTTAAGTTTATCACAATAACTTAATCACGCTGTTTGCAGTCTCTAGACAAAGTAATACATAATTGCGGATTAAAGTTACGTTGGAATTTTCAAACGTTTTAAAAAAATCTCGAGGATAGTATAGTTTTTCTGATTTGATATTGATATAATATTAGATCAACAAAGGCAAATCGTTTATACGCATTAGCATTGGTAGTGCAAACATCAGTAACCTACACTATTGTGTTTATGTATTCGATACAAGCATTGAATAACATACATTCTTATCAATATTTTGTTGAGATCTACCCAAATAAAATGTGTGTATTGATGTGTTTTATTAGTTTGTATAAAGCACATGATAAAAATTAAGCGAATTAATAATTCTTAAAACGCTTAATATGCATTGTTTCTGTTATGTGAAGGAAC